GTGTCCGCTTAATACAGGGTGTCCGTCGAAAGCAGTTTCCCTCAGAGTTCGTCTTAAAAGGGTCAATATTAATTCCTTGAAAGGGTCAAATAGCATTCTGTTGAACGGTGGATAACTCTGAAATTCCGTATTTCCATAAACAGTGACAAGTAGATGAGGTAAAGCGATCAAAGTATAAAGTAACAGTGTCTATATTGATCGAATTATGCGAAGGTTCACAAAATCAAACAAGAACAAAAGTTTTGCGGTAAAAACAAAAATCGCATTTCTGTGACAGCTCTTTGTCGGCGAACTTAATTGATAGGCTCTATTACCAGCCGCTGTTTCGGGAATCGAGCTTAACTTAAATTACCGATCTATTAAAACGTGGACGAAAAAACATGCATCCTTTTGCAGTGTCCTTTTGATACAGGTTTCTAATAATAGAAATGACCATAAAAGTCAAGTTTAAGGTGTCCGCGTCTTGCCAGAGGCATGTCACCTAGAACTAGGTGATATGCGTCTGCTTAATAGAGGTATCCGTCGAACACATAAATGCAGCTATTGAGACAAAAAAATGGGACCGTTATCAAGCCAGGATTGTTGCGTCCCCTTTATCAAGGTGCTGATTTGACGGGAGCTTTTTTCAAATTCAACTAAACACTGACGCTAATATTTTTACTGTTACCACTGCGCAAAAATAATCGTCAGTGCAGCCTGCTAAGAGGTATAAGCGGTGCGGGAAAATCTGTCAAGTTTGGCAGACTAGTGGCGAATAGTTACTTAAGTTGGAGTTACCAGGAGGCAGCGTGGCAGCGTGGCCGAGTGGTGAGAGCTCCGGATTTGGTAGCCCCAGGTTCAACTTCTCGGCTGCGCTTGTAAAAAGCCAACTGGTCTGCTTCCCGCCAGTTGGGATTCTTAACCTAGTTATGCTTATTTGAATATTTATTTATCATTGTTTGTTTACATTGGTCCTGAAAAGCCCCAATGGGGAGTAGCTAATTAAGTATACATACACACACACATACATACCAGTTTTTCCGCGGCGGTAAAAGGCATAAATCTAAAAAACGAAAAAAACTGCCATACAAACCCTACTATTTTCGTGTTTAAAATTCGTTAACCACAGGGATCGATGTACTGTGGAAATTTTGGAACATTTCACCGAAGGGAATCCCGAATAAAGCTATGTAAGCGCTGAAAAACGCATTAGTTTAACACTAACAGCCAAGATTTTAACAGAGATGATTATAAAACACTATTTCATCACTGCTATTTACATTTAATAACTTTGAGAGGACTGGGTGTAAAGCGAATGCAAAAACAAATTTTACGATAACTGCACAAATTCTCACGCGCTCACTGGTTAATTTTCATTGTCAGTAAGCGGACAGACACATGAATTTATAATTTATGCGATGCGCCAACGAGCGAAAGCGGACAATTTGACAATTTGTAGTCTGCCGATCCACTCGTCTATCGCCTCATGCTTTGACAATGTTATGACGAAATTCATGATCAATAACAGGACAGACGCATGAAAAACTGACGTCGATTTGTCAAATTCCAAATAGAACGATGAACAGCAATAAATGATTACTGAAACCCAGTCTGCTACTCGGCCCACCTAATTCTGTTCCCCAGATCTCCTCAAACGAGAAATCTCACCATTTTGATTCTTTGCAATAACTGCAAGTAAGGTAAGCGTACACAGAAACTTCTAACGGTTGCACAGTTTGTTGAGGATTTAAAACAGAACAGTAACGCAGAAAAGGATTCAGTGAAGGAAACTTGAAATGAACGACGAAGCGCACGAGGAGCTGTCGCCGCGAGCGGAGATCTTCAGATCAAAACTTATTGAGGATTTTCAGCTTATCGACATGATAGCGAATAGAGGCGGTGCCGAGCCACCGAAGTACTACTCCAATGAAATAACAGGTATTGTTACGGAATAACCTACTGACTTTTTCTCGCATATTGTTTCGCATTTTCTCGAAACAGTGGGACAAATTTTTATTTCGAAGAAACTTTCAACCATCTTTCAGTACAGCGTTCATCTTTTGTAATATCTGAGCTAAGCTAGGTTAGTTCTTATGAGAACTTTTCAACATTAGTGGCAAATTTAAACGCTGATAGCCTGTTACAAAGAAACACAAATTATATGTATTGACAAGACAGTTCTGTCGTCAGATAGAGTTTTAGATAAATGATGACTTGTCAATGTACAGCATAAGCTTGCTATTTCCTGCAATTTTGAGAGCTTTGATGATAATGTTGTTTCAAATTGAAAATTGGGAATGCTTTCTAATCCATACGTTTATAAGTTATTGATTGAATGCCTGCAATGTATTCTCTGCAAAAAATGTTTATTATAAACTTTGCTCATAACTATTTTTTTCCAGATGATGAAGTTATGAAGCAGCTTTTACGAGAAACACCCCAGGGATTGATCAAGTTTCAAATGTATTCCAAGAAAGATGAGCAGCGCTTCACTGACCGTCGTTTGAACAGAGTCAAGAACAAAAACGCCATTCCGCTTGGGCCATGGGCACACACTGTTATAGAGGGTATGTGATCATGTGTGATGGATATCCGATCATGCTACTTTCTTTTTCAGTATTGAATTGACCAGATATGTAATTTCTTATTATATGGCTACATAGCTCTATGAACAGGCAAGATGAACCAAATCTTGTGCCGTGATTGCCACCCCCCACCCCCACTCCCCTAATGGACAAGATGGGGCTATCTATAGACCAAGCTTGTTTATTCAAGAAAGATGGCTACATATTAGCCTTGACCTTTTTTGCATATAAACTTGCAAAAAGAAAGACTTGGCCATTATCTTGAGCTCACACTGGGTCAATAATCCATATATTTTGAATTCTGCCAACAGATCCAAGGATTCAAAATTTCATGATGATATTGATCATCACTAATTCTATTGTTCTTGGGGTCCAAGCTGGTGAGTCATTAATTTTAGAGCCCATTTGGTAATTGATTTTATAGACCTTGAAACAAACTCTTGTCTAAAAAAAATAAACGTGGCATGCTATTTAAATCAATTTTTGCCTTAACAGAAATCTCTAAAGTTGATGAACCCTCTCTTCATGGACTGAAACTCACTCTACAAATTTTTGATTACTGTACACTGACCATATTTGTGTTTGAGATAATTCTTAAATGGATTGATGGGTTCTGGACTTTCTGGAATAATGGCTGGAACATCTTTGACTTTGTTGTCACTGTTATGGTTAGTATAAACATACTATAAGTTTACAGTAAATACTTGAAGCTTGTGTTCAAGTCACAAGAACCTCTGTAGGAAACAATGCTGTTGCTTAGATGCTGTGCAACATTTTTGGATCATGTGACAAAACACAATTGAAGACTGCTTGAAGATTCTTGAAGATTAAGCTTAAATAGTTGTTTTCTTCTGATGATTTTAGTCTACTTCTAGCACTCATCAGATGATTAAAAAAAAGATGGGTGTGAAGTATAGGAGTCTTTGTTTGTCTATCTATCCATGAACCTAGATTCATAAATTTTCCATTGACTTTTATCTTTCATTTTTATGGTTTTTTTGTAGTCATTTGTGCCAGAGATTATTGAGCTTTCATCAGGGAAAAACACAGCCGAACTTGGAGTCATTGCTGAAAATTTGAGAGTGTTCAGAATCTTACGATCACTGAAGATGGTGAGCAAAATTTGAAAACATCTATTCATCAAAACAGTTCCAAAACAATAGGTGATCAAAAGTGAACTGTTTCATTGGTCATTTTAGGTCTCAAGATTTGCTCAGCTTAGAATCATTGTGTTGACAATTCTCAAAGCATTCAAGGTAATGATCGACAAGGAAACAGGTTCAGAGGTTTTACTTACCTTTAGCTATTTGTTGGAACACTTAACTATTAAGGAAAAGTTTTGCTGAATTTTTGCCACTCACGTTTTTGTGACAAGCTGTTGCTAGTGTACAAGTATAAGTATTACTTCATGAATTAATGCAGTTGACACTGTATATTTTAGTCAGTACTTATCCATTTGCTGCATTACACAAATTATCATAATACAGTGGGCTCACATTAGTAGCAAGTTTTTATCAGTCATTCATCTTTCACTGTCTAGTCAATGGCATTCATTTTGATCTTGCTGATGACATTCATGTACATTTTTGCTGTGGCTGGAACTGTCATGTTTTCTTCCTACTCCAAATCCAAAAGAACTGACCTCAAGTATAAGCAGAGCTTCAGGTAAACAAATGTGCAGATCAGTTTCTGATATTTAGATAAATCAATCTACATAATATTTCATTTGAACTATAAACATATTATTTAAGTTGCACTGAGCAGACACCCTTTAACTGTGAACTTGAAGGGCATATCACCTTATGGGGGTTAAAAATCTTAGAAGTGTTTCAGGGGTTTCATTAACGTTTTCAACAGGAGGGCAACTGGTTAAACTATGAGAACTGAACGTCTCTGTGAGAAAAACTTTCCCCTAGATGGTCACACCAGCGTGGTAAAATTGTCCTCACAGCCGATCAATTTGCTTGGTGTCCGACTCTTAATGAAATCCCTGGAGTTTGTTTGTATGTGTGGCTATGACTCATGACTGAGTGTCAGCTTAAATGAGTAGTGTCTGTTAGTGAAAGCTTGACAGTCCCTGAACAAGTTATTATAAATGTACATCTCTATTATAGCTGTAAATACCACTGCCTTAACAAAACCCTGTGGGGCATAACTTCTATGTTACAATGTGTAGTCAAATGAAAAATTATGCAGACATTATCTAGTACTGTTGTTCTTTACTAATTAGTCTTGTGGTCAGATACTAGGAAAACATCATTAAATTTTGTCTTGTGACAGCTTACTGATAAGCTATGTAAAAGTGATTGAAGAGAGTGGAGTACAGAATTAAGATATGATTAAGTGTGTAATTTTGTCAACACAGTTCCTTGGGTAATGCACTTGTTACTCTGTTTCAACTCTTCACGCTGGATCACTGGTATGACATCCTGAGAGATCTCATCAAAGTGGCAGATTCTATCACAGTCAAGATCTACATCATCTTGTGGATCTGCATTGGGGCTTTCATCTTCAGGAATATCTTTGCTGGCATTATGGGTGAGTGCCCTAGAATAACTCACAGTTACAACTTGAAAGAGCAAGTATCTTCAATGCAGTGTTATGAGTATTACTGGGTAAAACTGGATCATTGGGTAATACAATTCAAGAGTTTTCATGGGCGTAGCCATCATGCTATATGAGCAATATTATACTCTACAAATATGGTAGGTTTATGCATACTTTTTTGGGGTGTTTTTATTTGTATATTTTTTCTACATTCCAGAGGTATTTTTGGATACGAGTCACTGCACAGCTCGTTGGCTATCTACCATCTCTTATAATCCATCAAGTATTTTTGCTCGCTTGATTGGTCTTAATGCATCACGTGACTGATCACATCACGTGACTGTATTCCCAAATTATCAAAACACGCATGTTGCGAAAAACATTTGAAGGATAATAAATACAATAGCCTCCATTTGGCATGAAAATATGCTTAATGCTCAGTTGGTGTGAAAATATACTCGGATATTTGTGCTTGGACATTATCTGTTCCTTGAAGCTCGCAGCTTTCCTCGAGCTTCGCTCTCGGAAAACTGTTCATTTCGCAGAACAGATAATGTCTGCAGACAAATATCCGAGTATATTTTCACACCAACTGAAGGCTATTGTTTATATATCCAATTATGCACACTCCTGGAACATAAGCACTAATCTCAAGGCTGGTTTTCACTAGAGATGGAGTTAGAGTCGGAGTCGTAAGAACACTTGTGACCTAGTGAAAATCAAAAATCAGAGTCATAAGCTCGATGGAATCAAAGTCAGAAGATTCAGAATGTTTCCATTTCCTCTGATTCTTTTTATGACTTTGTTGCTTACAATCTCGTGAAAACTAGATTGTTGGAATTGGAAGCAGATTGAAGCGAAAGAACCAACCAATCAGAAGCCCCGAAATTGAAAATTGTGATTGGTTTATTCTTTGAGCCTCTTCTTCTGACTTTGACAATCTAGTTTTCACGAGATCGTAAGCAATGGAGTCGTAAGCAGGATTGGTGTTCTGCTTCTGATTCTGTCAGTTTGAGTTCCACTAGATTGTATCATTCTATGCTTCTGATTACGACTCTGACCACGACTCTGTGGCTAGTGAAAACCAGCCTTGAGGGTGTGTTACTTTGGGATGATCCAGATCAGGATCAACTATCCAAGATTGCTCCAATCTTGATGGAAGAATCCACTCTGACAAGGATGGATCTGATGCACCACAATCTGAGTGATTTGCTGGTGTAAAAATATATACTATTGTATTCTCAGAACTATTGTACCATATTACAAGAGGGAAAAGGCAGACAGTAACAAGATTTTGAAGAGCTTTTCCAGATACCAAGATCTCAAGGCGATCTGTTAACAAAAAATGACAACTGTGCATGTGGTTATAAGAGTCAAGTTCTTTTCTTTCAGTAATGAACTTCCAGAGCATCCGCAATGATTTTAATCAGCAAGTGAAGGAGCAGACTGAAGCCCTGGAGGCAATGCAGATGAGGGCTCACTTGGCAGAAGAGCTGGAAAGACAGGACAGATTGCATGCCAGAGCTAGGTATACACATTCTAAAAGTAGACAAGCAAACATTCATGTACTGCTCATGGTAACCTACAATTGCAGCCTTTATAACAAATGAACTGGGAAAATGAACCACCGAAAAACACGAAAGTGGGAGAACTTTAGCTCAACAATAGCCCCGCTGTTATAGTTAAAAATATGTGATTCATGTTGTATCTATGTAGACGCAGTAGCAGCGTAGGTGTTCAGCTGTTTCAGGAGAGAGGTAAACCTCTGGAGCACATGTCAGTGTTAGCAGAAACTGAAGAAGATGAAAAGGATGCAGATGAGCCTCACGAGCCTGAGAAAAGCAAAGAACCTCCAGCTTTGCTTCAGGGAGAAAAAGATACGCCAAGGCAGGACATAAAAGATGGTGATCCTTTGACTGCTCTTGGCAACAAGCTTGCTAAACTCAGGTAACTTACTGCTATATTCCTCAATTGATCCAGACTAACTTATTTTGTAAATCCCACACAATTTCCAGAATTGTCAGTGGGCAGCCTAGAGAAAGGTGGGTCAGAGATCACTACTGGCCAAAATTCTTAAGTGAACTAAATTGAACCTCAGTGCAAACTGATGCATTGTTTTCTGGATATAGGTGTAATAATCGAAGGGGTAGGTGGAGAAATCAAAGGAGAACTATGAAGAAGTCGTGGAGAGGTCTGCTTCAATCAGCTGCTATATATGCTTGAATGGGTTTTGAAGATAATTAACAAGGTCACTCAGAAAAGTCAAAATATCTCTGCCGTTGATGCACAATATACATGGTTTTGTTTATTACAAAATGTTTATCCACCCCTGAAAATTAAATCCTTGAAATATTTTTTCTTGACATCTTTGCAGTCTTAACGAGTTTTCTGGAACACCTCACCCTTCTGAGACTTTCTGCATTACCTTGCCGTAGATAATTTTGTGTATATCTAGTTTTCTAACTGCATTTCGTACTTTTGGATCTCTGCCATGGTGAAATCAAAACTCAAGTGCTTTAGCTAATTGTTGTGTTGACGACATTGTAATTTCAGTCACAAGCATACAATAATAGTTATTATTAGTGTTTTGATACCAGATACACATGAAAACAAACTCTGAAATAACTATGGCTCTGTAATGAATGCACTGTGAAATCATTGTCTTAAAGTGAAAGAAAAGTTGACTGATTAAAATTAATTGATTAAAAAAGATTCAGTGTCTATGGGATTTCCTTTCGTGTGTTCAGCTACAGGAGCTTAAAAACGATGGAAAAAAATCCCTCAGTGCCTGCAGCTGCTTATGGACTCAAGTAGAGAGTCTGCTTACGTGAGAGTCCATTAAGAGGGCATCTACTGTGATATTATTTTGATAAAAAACTTTTTGATTTGTGTCAAGGGAAACAAGATGTAACAGTGCATTAGATCAACAGACAGCAGGTGAACAGCAGGAAAAACCAGAGTTACAAGGAGAGTGTGGTCATGACAGAGCAAAAGATTTAACTAATGGTGAGTATACCGTGCAGTTCAATGTAGCACATGGCAGATGGATGAATGATTTGGAACAACAAAGGTCTTGTTTTTAATAGATTCCAAACAGATCAGAGTCTTCTCTACTGATTGTCTATCACAGCTTCAGAAGCCCAAAGACACCTCTAGAATGTATTTGCTATTAAAAAGTAAGCACCTGCAGTAAGCAACACATACACAAGGCGACTGGAATCTGGATCTGGGGTCTAAAAAGAGGTTGAATGGTACGGTTGCTTTGTTGTTCAGACAATAATATACAGAGGAACTGCAATTATTTCAGTTCCTCTGTATACTATAGAATGTAAATGCCTGGGTAGAAAAAAATTGTCAACGTAGCCTGGCAAAGCATATCTGGGTAACCAAGGAAGAGCGAGTGCTTAAGAGTCCCTGTCCATAAATATGGAAAATAACTCGGCAAGGGTCGACAATTTGATTTCGCTCATATTTTTATGGATTTTTACAGGCAGGCACTCTTAAGATTTGTCAGTGAGTACTGGGACTGATGAGTCATCAGATGTCTCCAGTACCTTGGGTTGAGAAAGTTTTTCACCTTATCAGTGGCAAGCATAATTAATAATTTTCATCTCTTCGAACTTTGACTGTGTTCAAGAAGAAGACAAATATATATATATGTATATATATATATATATATATATATATATATATATATATATATATATATATATATATATATAT